GAGGCTGACACAAACGATAACGCGGCGATGGAAAGTATAGCGCTGAACATAGCGGAGGTGCGTAACCGTGCGGCGATTAACGCGGCCTAGTGGAACGGGGAGTTCGGCGACGCGGGTGAATCCGCGATCGCGTTACGGAAACGGCAACCGTGAGGTTAAATCGATGGGTGTTTCTTCGATTTTGACAGGTCGGTGGCACCGGCGGCGGCGGCGGCGACGGCGGCGACGGCTCGCCGACCGCGACGACGGGCGAGGTGGGCGCGCTGCAGTTCCAGGCGTCGCAGGTGATCGCGCGGCTGGAGCGGGCGGTGGAGCGGGCGGCCGACGGGGGTGGCGACGACGACGACAACGACAACGGCAACGGCGGCGGCGGCGGCACCACGTGGAACAACCCCTCGGGATTCCTGACGCAGCCGAGGAAACCGGACGAGATATTGGCGTTGATACAGGTGCGGGGCGGCGCGGGACGCCACGTTTACGCACCCACGTACGACCGGCGGAAACGGTCCGTCGCAATTAAGACCGCGACCGATAGCGCGACAGCGGCGATAATCGCGCGCGTCACGTGGGAGAGCCGTGTTTTTGTGTCGTTCGTTGATTGTGTACGTCTCGCGTGTCCGCTGCGAGAGTGCGAGATGATGACAGCGGAGTACATGCAAACTTGATTTCTGCATCACTGATTTCTCACTGATTTCTATTGCAGCTTTTACGTGTCGGTGTTTATTACTATCGCTTTTCTTTTTTCTTCTTTTCTTCTTTTCTTCTTTTCTTCTCTTCTTTGTTTCTTCTTTTCTTCTTCTTCTTTTCTTCTTTTTTTCTTCTTTTCTTTGCGTCCTTGCTCAAACCGTTATTTTGAGACTGTGACATGTAGAGACTTATTTGTGTACTTTTCAGGACTAGAGATCTATTTTGTGTAGTTTTCGAAGCTTTTTGAATGTAGAATAAAGCATAAGAAGCGGAGAGTCAAAGACAGAGGACTTTGATTCCGATCACCGATTCGAAATAAATTCTCCTTGGTCATTCTCTCGGTCATTAAAAAATAGAAAATGGAAATGAGATACGAGCATGATTTACAACTCGAGAAAGATACATGTACATTTTCTTCTTCGGATATTTTCCGACATCTTTTTTTTAAATAAATTAAATATTGTTTCCGACGTGTATATATGCTAATATACATTACTTGTTGTCTCTTCAGATATATTTCGGTATATTCACATAGACATGAATCAATGCAATAAAAAATATTGTCTCTTTATTACGTTACTTTTTAAATATACGTTTTGTGTTTTAGCATATACACATTTCTTATTTTAACATTACATTGCTTTCTCAGATCTTGATTTCTCTACGTAAATCGTAAAAAGGTAGAGATACAATCGATAACAACCAACATTTACTATGAGATACCAAAGACACCTAGTTTTAGCACCGATTTCTGTTTAGGACTTGGTAGTTCACGAGGACGCGCCGCAACCAATCGAGCCAGGTTCCACGGACTCGCCGATCAGTCAGATCACCGCCCTGCCAGCTCTAACCGAGACGGCAAAATTGGCCTTAGTCACGCACACCATCTCGGCTTACGCGGTAGCGCTACCAAAGTCACACGCGCAGAAGCTCGCGGGTCGTCTCGCGGCCGACACGACGAGATGGCTGAGCCACATCTTCCGCTTCGTCGACTGCGCGTCTTCCTTCCACGAGGATCACCTCGAGGGGCTGGTCAGGGTTACGCGACTCGCTCTACATCGAAAATACCCGCGATACATGGAGGAGGGCTTTACCGCACTCGTGTCTCAACCGCCCCTGATCTACAGCTCCGTCGCTGCACCCATGGGTGTCGTTCAGCATTTGTGCCGACAGGTAAATGCTCCTCAATCCTTCCTCCCGAGCGTTGAAGCCGAGTATAGGAATATCGTTCAATTTAAAAGAATGTTGCTTGCAAGAAAATTTGATAATTGATTCTTTGTGGCAAAGAAATTGTATCAAGAAGGAATCTGGAGAAACACCAATTGAAGGTATATAACGCATTAAAGACTTGTTGTATTTTTGTAGCTCTCTTTGCCGCTTCATTGCATAAGACCAATCCCACATAACACTATGTTCGGCTCGAGGCACACTATGGACGTGTCGGCGCTGGAACGACGCTTAGCGGAAGACACTCAGTCGAACAACGTAACGCCATTGCTAGTTCTGGCCGAAGCCGGCTCGGTGTTGACGGGCCATTGCGACAATATCACGCGATTGCGAGCGATATGCGACAAGTATAACGTCTGGCTGCATCTCAGAGGGCATTCGCTAGCTGCACTCGCGCTGAATATGGCGAAAGATCTGGTAAATATTCTGGCATAGTTTACCATTAGTAAAGTTTGGGTATCTTTAGCGTCGCCAAATACTTTTGAAGAAATTTTCTGAAAATTTGTTTCTATTACAGCCGTCGAAAATAGCGGACAGCATTACGTTACCGCTCGGAACGTGGCTTGGTATACCGTCGCTACCAGTGGTCGTATCCTTTCACGTCTTTTCGAGTTTAACAGAATAGCTGCAATATGAATAATAATAATGATATTTGAACCAGAATGTGTTAAAATATTTTAAAGATTCCTAAAAAAGGGATTTGCATTTCATATCATCATGTTTCATATAGATGATTTAGTTATATTCTTTTGATATTTAACTCAATTTTACATATAATATTAGTCAATATCGTTGCTCCGATTTTCCTTAATTTTTGCTTATAGACATTGTACAGATTAGCAGATATTAAAGGTGGACGACCCACTCCGAGAGATACTACTCTATCGTTAGTTTCAGGATTGATGGCAGATTCCCTGTCGAGGCGACTACCGACTTTGCCTTTGTGGACTGTTCTGCAGGTTTTAGGTCGAGAAGGTGTACATAATAGATTTAAAAGATGTTTCTTGGCTGTGGAAGAATTGTACAATAAGATTAAGGAGTTCTCTTGCATTAGAATACTGGTAGGTTTTTACGCACTTCCTTAAAAAAAGGAGTATCTCTATCAAAATTCATCATTCATCCTCTTTCAGAGTCAACCGCCAGGCGGCGAAACGGAGTCCTATACTTTAAGCGAATATCTAGCAAACCCCGTGAACAATTTACAATTATTTGAAGTAGTAGCCAACGCGTTAGTTTTCCAATTCGTATCTACGAATAAGGATCTTCAAGCCACGGATCGCGTGCTGCCTTATTACGATAAGTTGAACTCCTGGTTGGGACAGATTCTTCAGAGGGACATTGACAATATACAGATAGAACTTTGTGATATAGAGCAGTGCGGTGTTGCGATTCGCATCTGTCCGTTGGAGAATCCCGATCAGCCACCCACGAACGAAGACATAGACAATTTAGTGACCTGCCTTGATCAACAAATAGTAAGGCTATCTTGGATCACGTTAATTCATATTCCTACCGAGCGCAATCATGATGATTCATCGATTTTTTTTTTTATAATGAATAATTTCACCTAATAAATTTTCTCATCGCATTTAACGTTAAAAAACACGGTGGGGATATGACGTCGCGATTACAGCCAACGACGATCGTAAACTCGTTAATAACGCCATCGTTGAATCTCGTTGAATAGGAAATATTGCTGGCGACAGTGGAACACAAAGACACCTTCATACGTTTAGTCTCGGAGAATGATTCTTTGCATTTAGTGGAAATGCCGGGTTGGGCCGGTTTGGGAGGTGTGCGTTACGCTCCACCTACCTGGATTCACGTTATGACCGATCAGGCAAGGGAGGAATTAAACAAACTGAATATGCAATTGGTCGAAACCCTGCGCAGCACGGATGCCGCGTTTTCCCTCGGGGAAGGCGCGGACGGTCTAGCCTGCGTGCGATTTGGCATGGTGACACAGGACACAGGCAAGTAAAGGCGCTTTCATCACCATTGCAATTTTATACACATGTGCCTCTTTCATACGAATGATTATTGTTTCCAGACGTGCCCGAACTATTATCTTTAGTATTGCAAGTTGGCCAGGAGGTGGAAGCTAGTTCTAAAATGATGGATACCATCTCCGAAGTAGTTAAGAGAGGCATCGAGACGGCGCAAACGGATCTGGAGAGAGAAAACGCGGAGAAACTGTGGCAAGAGGGTATCCTCAGGCACGTTCCCGTCGTAGGAACTTTTGTCAATTGGTGGAGCCCTATTTCGAAGGAAACGGGTGTTCGCGGTCGTAGCCTAAATTTGCAAGCTGGTAATCGTAGTTTCCATGCAACAAACATTTACTCGTCATAATTGTATTTTTTCTTAGCAATATATTAGATATTCGTGATAATCGTGATAAATAGAATGTTTTACGCGATATTTGTTGATACAGGTATCGTGGAGAGTACGGAGAATATCTACAAGTACCACATGCAGTTGCAACCTAATTTCACAAACAGTAACGGTTCCGGCGCCAGAACTCCGCCTCAGCCGCTAGTGCAAACGCCAGTCGGTGCTAACAGTCAAAGCCACAGTCGATCGTCGAGTCACTCTAGCCTGCAGAGCGGTAAGAATGTACCTCTAATAAGCAATGTCAGTTCTCAGCCCCAGGTGAAGGAAGAATCCGCGCAAACGAAGTCGTAGTAAACATTATTTCGATAAATTCGAGAGCACATCGTTCCAAGTTGTTAAACTTGGAATAAGAATAATGCTTTCTGAACGTAAAACGCTAAAACATTCCCTCTAGGAGGTACAGTCTTTAGCGAAATATTAGACCGTATCTTGTATAGCTTATCGATTGGGTTAAATAGAACGAGACGCGTGTGCGACGGTTTAATTTTAATCTTGCTGCTGATACTTTTAACTGGCTGTTTTTCGCCGAAGATATTTCTCGCTTTTACGTATCTAAAATCATGTCTTCGCAATCTTTTTCCAAAAATTTCGTAAAATTCCGCTATCGAGCCTGACTTAATCATGGAATGGTCCATGTACTTACTAGACTGATAACACGTAGCGCAGCGCCGCTTTTATAATAAATTCATACATAACAGTTTTACTGAAAATACCTCTCGCGGCATGATGGCCAGAATAAAATAATTTTCTCATCTAATCGATTATCTTCTTCTTCTCGTACTTTATTAATACTACGCAAGATAATATATTTTCTGTCATATAAAAGAATATGTTGCAAGAAAATTATTTATTGTTGAATAGTAATTTTATGTATAGTATTATGCACTTTAATTACAAGAGCCGGCTAGCCCGAAATATGCTTACATTCTTACAGCTTTTTTGTCATTAAAATTATTTAGTAATTATCCTTCATTCACGGATTTTTGCTCTCTTTAAATTGCTCGCTAATCTTCAAATTAATGATTCGCACTCGTTAAGTTTTACATCTTCATTCGTAAGCACAATACTGCAAATAAAGTGTAATAAGAAAATATATCATGTATTTACTTTATGCATTAAAAATAAGCTATGTACATTTTACCTTTTATGAAGAAGATTTTGAAGAACATACTTGAATGAAAATATAAGAAAAGCGTTCCGGTATTCGAAAGATGTTAAACAACTCGCCAAAGAAACTTATATATATTTACGTCGAAAAAGAAGATCCGTATTGTTGCTCTTGTATTATGTAATCGATGATGACACCAGGAAAAAATATTTCAATGATTAAGATCAATAAATAAGTTATACTGCATTAGGAGATTGTTCGTAAATTGTTGAAAAATGTCGAAGATACAAATAAATCAAGCAGTATGTATATTTATGTACCAAACTTGTAATAAAGCATTGCTAAATGAATAAATAATATAAAGTAATATAAAAACCGATGTCTTTTCGCGGCGCATTACGTAGCGGATAAATTACGACGATACGATACCAATGCGATAATTGTGGATCTTAGGTTTTTATTTCTCTTTTTATAATACTCATGTTCCGTTACAATAGGAGGAATTAAATCCGGAATATGGCAATTAGACACAATCGTAATATACAAAAAGTAGTATCGATTAACGAGCTTCGTTCGTTCTCCTACATTTTCTCCTCGAGATAAGTCTCTTTATATTACATCAAAATTCGCAAAACCGCACATACAAAGAAAGACGCAATAAGAACGTTAATAACTTACGTAAGTTCTCTGGAGTAGTCGAGTAGCCTCTACATATACTTTGTAAATAAATCTCTTTCGCGCAGTGAGAGAGAAATACGCAAAGAAGAAAAGATAGTATATATGTAGATATATACTATCTATACTTTCACTAATAGATATAGCGAGAGATACGTCAGGAATTAAATCGAGAAAGTAATCGAACAGAAATATATACCGATGTGGACACACAAATATTTATGACAGAAATAAACGTTCCGTCCCGTCACATCCCATGCCGAACACGTGTAAAATATTACATACTTATGCAATATACGAATATACGGAAAATTAGAGCCCTGGATCCTTCGGCGTATCCAGTATCAGTCTTGAAGGGTGCACAAAAGCTTAGGTCTCCCGTTGTTCATATCCCTCCCTTTCTCTCTCCCTATCTCTTTTACATATCCGTATTTGTCGATGTGCGTGTGATCAAATTCTGCGAGATCTTTTTTGATTTTCGTTTATTAACTATGTTTTCTTTTTTTTTTATTCTGCGATGAAATTGCCGTAGGCCAAGAAAATGCTCCGATTCGAATGAGTTCCTCAACGTCGTATATCATTACATCACTCCCATTATCTCTGAAAATAATGAGTTTCCGTTCTTTCTCTCTCTCTCTCTCCTCTCTCACGCATACACATATGTATATAATAGACGTATACACTCGCGTACATACTCTTTCTTTTTCTCTCTCAGTCATCCGGATCTCTTTTTCTCTTTTGTTCGTGTTTGTCACGCAAACGCTCTCTCCTTTTCTCCTTCTTTTACACCACATTACGTTTACCATATAAAAATGATGAGAAACGTAAATGCTGCTTTACTCGTTAGAAAAACTGGTGTGCAATGTGCCTCAGACTCTCGTTTCTACTATAAAAATTGACAAACGATTTATAATAAAAGTTCCGTTAACAATCGTCTAAATTACAAATTCGCATATTAAGAGTTTAACAACGTTTCCTGTGTTCTAGATTATTTTAAAATACGTGTTAAACGGGCTCTTTGGTCGCCTGTAAGTCTCGCTCGTCGCCAATTTCGCTCTGGATTATTGAGCGCGGATCGGATATCTCTCCTTGTGGAGAAATATTCGAGTAGAATTTTCACCGACTGACAAGCGACGTTTACCTGCAGGTTTTCAATCTGAACAATGCTATATTGATCCCGTTTTTGCGCGCATTGCTGTAAAATCTCGAGTAACCAAAGTTACAATATCTGAAGATGTCCACCTCCAGTGTTTTATGAGTTATTAAAAAAGAAAAGATATATATGAAATAAAGAAAAGAGAACTCAAACATGAATTCTTTTTTTTTTTTAATTGAACCGTAAATTGAAGTCCGTTTATCGTAAATCGATATCGCGAAGAGCCGGAAAACGAAGTGGAGAGCGAAAATATTTGTTGCAAAGTACGAAAAGTAAACATGACGTACAATGAATAGCTACGTATGACGGATACAGCGCATATCTGTGTTAAAACACTGAAGTTGGATTATTTTGTATACTTTCTCGATAAGCAATTTTTCTCTTAAAATCTAGAACATGTATCGGGGGCAATGACGCACTAATATAGCTTCCGTACGTATTAATAGTGACGATACAAATATGTTTTTAAGAAAAAAGATTTCTCTTTTTACGAGTCTTATTCCTTTTTTTTTCGGTTATTCTCAAATTGAGCCGGGTTAAAAATTTGGCAAGAGATCTTATTACTGAATGTACACAACTTTATATACTGACTAGGATACTTCTTCGTCTCCAAAGCGAACAAAACGATATTCGTTCATTTCCTATTACGCGCACGCGGTCGGTGCACCGCGCGCGCGCACATTCACATATATTTTATCGTCGAAACTTAAATTAGCATTCAACTAAACTATATGCTACTAGTTATCGCTCTACGAGCTATCGCTCTGTAATAAATATTACAATTATTTACATTGGATTAAGTTCTTTTGCTATTCACGCTCCTCTTAAAATGCTCGGTATTGCGATTATATATAATTGATTTTTACTCAACTAAACACAAGCACTAAGAAAATCCTGGAAAGTAGTTTGCGTTAAATGCATGTTTCCCTGGAATGGCACGATTTTCCTTTCCGCGTCGAAAGTCGTGGTTAAATCGTTCAATAAAAAATAAAAATAAAAAAACGAATGGCAAAATGCTTCCACGCAAAATCCGTAATAACATCTAGATTCGGTTTTATCACACTTCACGTTTACTCGATAATCTTAAGTGTTACTGCTTTATATACAGACTTACTGAATTATATGCGGATGCCAGTACAAAGTCATTTGCGTTTACTGAAAATCTATCAATTCTTACAAACTTTTAGATAGTAATCAATTATAGAGAGAAAGAGATGTACCGAATATTATCAGAGACAGGCATCCGTGGTGGCAATTGAGGAGGAATCGCCAATTCGGATACTCGTTGGATACTTGTAACAGTAGACAACTCTTGTCCAACCGGCTATTATTCAGGCACAAAATTACTCTTCCGGCAATCGGATCCCGATCGTCCGATTCGACGAGTACCGAATAATCGCCAGATACCCGGTATATCTCTGGTGTTATAGAATGTCTCAGGAAGACTGCGCTCCGCAGAAAATTCATTCTCGACCCTTACGAAGTATAAGATTCAGTTTTTTTTTTTTTACGACAGATTAATTTTTCTTACTGTCTTTAAAAAGAGTATCTTCAACTAATACCGCCTGTGGAAGTATGTTTCCAAATATCCTTTGTCGTTATGTCGGACAATCAGTTCCTTTTCAGCCCATTTTTCGTTTGCACATAAAAACTGAAAACCCATAACGCCTGTGCTACCATCGTATTTGTACTTAAAAGTATATTCGCCTGAGCATTGGCAGTATCGAGCGTGGCCTATAATCAATCGAATTCTGCCAAAGAGTCTCGTAAAAATCACCAGACACTCGTGCGGTAACTAGATGTATATGTATACGTTTTCACACACATATAAAGTATATTAAATATCTCTCACGGAAAATTCAACATAGATTCGTTCGGTTAAAATGTAAAAAGTATATAAAAAACCGTTATATCTCAGTAGTTCCCTCATCGTATTTTGGTATCTCCTTCGGGAGTCACGATATATCTGACTCCTCGCACGTCAAACGTCATACGAAAAATTAACGGCTAATTTAGAATGAACAAGCGAGCAGTATCTTTGTAAACGATATCGATGTAAAGCTTTGTGTGAAGGTTTCTTTTGTGCATGTTCGTTTCATGCAGCTTTCCAGTCAGCCAACAAGCAATGTAAATACATACGTCGCCGCTTCAAGTATGCATTCCGGCCTGTCCCTGGATACTTCGCGCGCGGTCTAATCAAGAACGCGATAACAAAGAGGGAGGATAACATAGAAAGGACGTACCACAATCACTGTACATGATATACAAGTACAAAATCTCGGATATAAAGTATATGTCTCACACAAGTTCCTAAGTTCTCTAAAACTCTTTTTTTTTTTTCGTCCCCCCGCCTCATTTCTCTCACTTTTTTCGCAGGTCCCCGAAATCAATTCGCTGTTTTTTCTTCTCTCGGTTTTTATAGGAACTCCGAATCGCATGTTCTGAGTTTCGTTGAAAGGCGAAACTCTCTTTGTAAAAACGATACTTCTACTCTCTGCGAATACTCACGATCCCGCATCCTCTTCCGATTAGAGTTCCGTTACAGCGTACAGATTAGGATCGCTACCCTGTACCTGACTCAGCGTAGCCACCGTCGGCTTCTCCTGCCTCCCCTGCGCGCGATTATACGTGCCGTACATGTTCGGCACCGTGTTGTTCGGCGGAGCGGTACCGTTAAACTGGCTGCGCGAGAAATTCCTGTCCAAAGTTCTGACCTGGTCCTGCATTTGATCCTGAATGCGAATGTTAGGCGCCTTGTTCCGCACCAACGAACGAAACTGATTCATATTAGTCTGTGAACGCGACTCGAACTCCCACGTAGGCTGCTGACTCGCGGGATTCGGCGGAAGCGGTCGATTTTGATTCCAGGCGGGAGTCGGGCCCCTCTTCAGACTGGCCAGGTTCTTCGGATCCAGCGTTTGCGTCTTACGCGAGTCCTGGAAAGTAGCAAGATGCGCGGGTCCGTGCGAATTGTGAGACAGGGTACCGGTGAAGGACGCCACGCTAGGCGTCCAAGGTGGTTCTCTACCTGTAATTGTAAAATGTAATAACGCAAATGAAAATCTTACAATTAGTGAATGTTATCGTATTATATACGTCAGAGTATTGATTTTTTTTTTAAGTATTTACCGGGCCCTGCGGGGGCGTGCCCTCAGTAGAAGTCACTAGACTCTAGCGTCTTGCACTGCTTGCTCAGAGTCGCGTACTGGCCAGGTTGATCTCCGAGTCCAGAACGGTGCTCAGCTCGTCCACCCGTTGATTGCTGATTATGCTGAGACGATTTGTGATCCCCGCCCCCTCCGCTCCCGTTAACACCCCCACCTCTGTAAATGGCGAGGAAGGACGAACAAAGTTGCAGCATTATCTTTGTTTTACGTAATGACCGGTGTCGTTTTATATATATATATAGCTTATCTAAACATTAATTCAAGTTCAATCACGCCTGCAAAACCGTCTATACATGTTATATTTACGTTAATAAAATAGGATTACAAAGCGCGCTATACTATTCCTTGTAACAATATTGTATAAAGCAATTAAAACTGTTATTTGCTAAGAATAATGTTCAATCTATTTCGAAAACTTATGTTCCGAAAACAGATATTCAAATAATCAGAACATCAAATATAAAAATCAAGAATGGCACAGTTATGTATATGATGCACTTACACGTATTTTATCACGTATATTCGTCAAAAGCATATACTAATATAAATATCGATAAAAACTTGTATTCTTGATGATGATGGAACTATGTATGATAAAGCAACATTCAAAGGAGACGCATTGAATCTAAGTCGGTAGTTTAGCGCGATAAATATTAATTGACCTTTTAGTTTAAGTAGCTAAATAAATTAAAGAGAATAAACTGAAAATCTCATGCACAAACTTTAACATGCTCTCGTGCAGTTGACGTGCTCGAGCAGTCGCAGTAGCGTAGGACGGTGGGGGCGGCGTTAGCAAGAGAGGCTGCTTAATCGTATTATGAGTGCCAAGAGCATTCGAATTAAGCGTAGGGGCTGTAGGCGGGTACGACCCTTGGCCTCGAAGGGTCCTTGCTGCTATCGCCTGCGACGCCGCCGATGGTGGTAAGTAAGGATCTTGCTCGTCAACCTGATGATAATCCCTTCTGGAACAAACGCATCATTACTTGTTTAATTCTCAACGAATACCATAGATCTTGGAAAGATGGGCGATCGATCCTTCGGTGCCTGCCGAAGCATTGTAATTAATAGCAAAATATAAAAATAAAATATTACTTAATTCCCTCTTCTCTCTAAACGATTCCAATATATTTACCGTTTTCGTATATATATCCATGTATGAGAATCCACCCAAACCAATACGGTGAACAAGAGACCTGCGGCTAAACTGGCTACTAGCATGTAACTCAATCCATACCTAGAACAAATTATAGAGAAACGTTGTAAGTTTATATATATTATATTCCGTGTAAAATTTAATCATGTAATTAAAATATAGGCAGAAGATATAGACTTACAATCCCAAGTGACACAAACTCTTGGCGGCGTGAACGTATTGCTTGTGCAGTGGTTTACAGTCGAGTAACGTGGTTAAGCCAGACACGAGTCTGTCCACGGTATTAACGTCTGTAGACAAACTGCTGAGCTTCGGCTGGAGCTGCTGATCTTTGAACAGTTCTATCGCTAATCGAGTCACCGTGTTCAAATTATGCCTCATGCTGCTCACCGCGCGCTGCGCGTCCCGCAATCTCTGCGTGAACGGATTGCTGCGCGTGTTTTCGCAATGCGTGTAGTACGAGAGTACTTCGGAGGCTAAGGTCGATGGCACGGCTCTGCTCAAGTAACCGTCGGGCGACACGCAGAGATCACCTAGAGCTACAGAAGTGGCCAGGTATAAGGACGCCATGAGCCAAGAGACGATAACCGCAAACAAGCCAAACACGGAAAATCTGAAAGAATGTTCTATCAAAGCAACTTCGTTACGATTTCATCTATAACTATAAACAAGAATTCGATCTATTCCTCTGCTCAAATTTTGTTACAGTTTTAGATAGTCCTAGTCGAGCGTGTAAAAGAAACGCGAACAAAGATACTACAAATGCGAGGAAGACTACCGAAAGATCTATATTGCCTATTTCAATCAAAGGAACGTACGTTATGAGGACACATCTGGAGTGCCGTGCAACACCGACCACCAGAACCACGCAGAGGACAAGTAGAGCGCTCAGGACCGCCATAGTGATAGGCCATCGCAGCTGTTCGATCTTCTCGCCCAGTCCGATGGCGCCGGCAAGACTGATCCCGCTCAAGGGCTTTCGTATCTCGAAACTCCGATTTACGGCGATGCTCGTGTTTTGCTTCATGCCGTTAAGTGCCGCTAGCAGCCAACCTAGCACAGTTTTATTGCTGACCGGGGCGTCGAATTCATCTCCGAGGGCAGTTAGTTGCGGCTGCACTTTTTTCTTCAGAGTCGCTTCTATAGTGTCAGTCTGTAAGAAAAGTATAACGTGTTGACACTTAAATAGACATAGCCACTATTTTTAATTGCCGCTACGTAAATTGTTTAAACTGTCTTAAATTATTTCAATCAGATCAGGTGTTTATCTATTTAAAGAAAAACTAAAAAACTGTTTTACAAAGAAAAAGACACGAGGCATTTGTCTCATACATATTTTTATCTAATTTATGCCTTTTACTTTCAGAATCTCCATGTTTATCGGAAATTTTTATTATTGCAGTGTGTAATAAATAAAATTCTTTCATTACATGTAGTACAATAAAGGATATTAACGCGTCGCGAAAAATAGGAAATACCTGATTTCTGACGCCCATGAGGATCCCATCGACATTTTTCGCAGCTGCTACGAGTTGCACCAAGCCGTTGTGCACGTCGTCGTTGCCATAAAGACCGACAGCGACCGCTGCGCTACAGACCAACGCCAGGATGGCTAGTGAACACTTCAGCGCGGTTATCGACTTCTTGGGGCGCGGCCTTCGGTCGCAGCATCTCGTTACCAAATAAACCAGCAATACCAGCAAAGTTAAGATCAACCAGGCTGCAGGAATACTTCCCAGTATCCCGAGGCTCTGTAAACATTACATCCGATCATGGCCTTTCTCCTCCCTTCGCAACTTCACGTAAACTTCACGTAACTCTTAAAAAAGAGATTACTAAAAAAGATCTAAAAACATTACTAATTTTCAGTTTTCTTACTTATTAGATTTTATCCATCAAGTTTCATAAAATTAACGATTGTCTCTATCTAGTAAAAAGTTCTTTTAGGAAGTAAATATCTGATTTGGAATTTAATTAAGGAAGAAGCTTTCTTGTCTCTTCTTTTCGGCCGAGAAGACTCGAAGGGCAGTCCGTCCAAACAAATAACGTCGAAAAATTGGTAAAGCGCCAAAATTTCCTCGTCTCCACTTCTTACTCTAAAACGGCAGTATTGTCATCGTCAAGGGCCGCATTGCAACGCTATTCCTGGCGCATTTACGCATTTACTTCGTACGAGCCGCACTTATGGCCGTCTCGTAACTTCCACCGCTCTCTTCCTACCTCCCCCGAGGCTTTTATCTCATTTCTCGGCGGTCTTAGCTCCGCCAAACCACCCCGTCGAGCCGCATGCATGACGAAAGCGAATGCCGGCGGAGACGAAGTTTCGCGCCCGCCTCCTTATCCTTATACCTCGCCCCAAAGAGTCCGTCCGACTTCGACGGCTGAGGAAGACGAGCGAAAAAGGCAAGAGGGGACGAAAGTGTGCGAGAGGGAACGCACGGAGAACACGACAGGAGAGACGACGAGAGCGGGAGGACGGGGAGGGATGTGCCCGTGGTCCGACGTGGTTCCCGAGGATGTTGAAGCCCGCTCCCCCGCGAGCCGCCCCGGGCGCATTATGCGAGAGCCTTTGTGCATTGTTTGAGCTTTCCCAGGCATTGTGCTTTTCAGTTACATACACCCGGATTCTTGCGCGCTCACGGCATCCACCTGCCCCCTTCTGGCCTTCTTTTTTTCTTCGTCAGTACCGTCGTCCGTTTTTTCTTCTCTTTCTTTTTATCCTCTCCGTTCTTTTCCCATGTTCTCGCCCGTGTTCCCGCTACCTTCCGCGCGGGCACGTGAATCGTCTCGTTTTTTCTTTCCTTTTGGTTTTACGTGAGCGAAACGAGTCGACACGCGGTCTTCCTCTCGTTGTTTCGTTTCCAGATGCTCGCTTCCCGGATTCTTATCCGCTCGTCGATGTACATATCGATCCGAGATCGGCGCTTGCGACCCGGTATCGCGAATCTACAACCGATCGCAGGCGATAATCCGAAGTGCTATCGGCGCTCGTGGTTACTAAGAGGATATCACGCGGGATAACCGCCGGGGAATTCTAGGTCGTGGTACTAACAGGAATTGGCGAACACTACCCCGAATCGATAGCGTTCGATTAACCGAACGTTCGCCTGGGCGACATTTAAATCGGCCAAAGGCGGTTTACGAAACGCTCGAAAAATCGGGAAATTGAGACTTCGACTCGATGTCAGGAGGGACGTTCGCGGTATCTCGCGAGGAGAGATTTTGCATATCAAATATTTATATCAGTCGTATACATCTACTTCGGGAACATATCGTCCAGCCCGGATTGGAAATAAGCCGAGCGTGCCGATATCCTCTTGAGGACGTTACGCCGGCCATCAGTATACACATCGGGTATGAATAAAATATTTATCTTGAAACTGCCACCGTGGGCCGTATGAAATCCGGATTTTCCGTGCAATTCGCTTATCGATCCGCGCGAAGCTTAAAGGCTCCGGGACGCGCGCGGTCCGATTAATCCCGACGCACTTTGTTTTAAATCAGCGGAGAGATCGATTTGCGCACGCCACGGTAGTGGCCGCGCGGGGGTGGCCGAAAGGGGGCTCGGGGATGATGGTGCCCGATAATCGGGGCCAAGGAAGTCGGGACCGACGGATTGTCGCGCCGACCTACCTCCAGATAGATCTCGGAGTGGGGATTGAACGTATTATTGACCGAATGTAAAGAGACGTTCAGATGCGGCAGACTGTGGAAGATCCTCGCGTAGTGCGGCACCGTGTACTGCTCCGGAAGCTGTTGACCGCCCGCCATTGTGGAGAACCCTTATCTCTGCCGCGGAGGAACCCAGTCGAAGCGTCTCTCCCACTCGTCAAGACATGCTACGCGCGAGCGAGCTGCAATCAGAAAATAACGAATTAATTGGCGCAAAAGGGAATTTGTCGGAGGCGTGTGTCGAAATAACGCGGTAAAGCCGCGGACACTACCTCGGCATTACGTCAACGTTATATACGAACGTTAAAGCTCGAATTCTTTTTTGCGACGGCTAATTGAAGGAGCATCTGCGCCAGCAGCGCGATATTTTCAAGTTTCATATTTGCATAATCGAATAATAATTCCTACACGGTGTCGCACCACCGTCGTGGCTTTTATATCTTTTATCCGAAATACATTTGAAAGCTCGATATGGAACGTGAGCTATTAAAACTTTCTAGGTATTATTATTCAATTACGTAACGTAAAAGTTGCAAGTGTCCTTTATAACCGAATGCAGGTTCTAGTTATTACGACCGCCCCGAGTTATTTCGCGTGCTCTTTCCAATAAAGGAATGGGAAGGAGAGACGAAATATCAGACTTAATAATCCAACAAACCTAGATGGATCAAACTTTTTTTCACAGAAACATGCAAAAATTTTCCTGTCATGTCATCGTTTAATAAATATGTTCTCCATCGCGATCAATTCGCGAGCTAAATGAGATAAGTTTCGTGTTTCGCGGAATATCCGTTTTCATCCGTTGTGCATATATAAATTTCGATTATTCTGCCGCGTTCGTTTGAATTGCATTGGGATTCGAACTGTCCCGAGTAATGCGGATATTAATTCTCCGGAGATCAACGTTTTTATACGAATAAATTAATAAAAAAGAAAAAAGAAATTTAAATTGAAATGGAGCGAGAATAGAGTCGCAGTTTAATTTCGTTGGAACGAGCCACTTCGCGCGACGCTACGGCAGTTCATGGAAGAGAATTACTCGCAAATTAAATGTCAAATTTTCTAAAAAGGCTCATCGAGAGTTTTAATTCGATTATCATTTCATTAACATATTGCGCCAGTTTCCGCGCTGCGCTCTTCCGTTGCGAGAGTCACGATTCAATCTTGGCTAAATACCGCCCGACGTCACTCAGTGTCGCAAAACGTTTTACCGTAGTGATTCAACTCTTCCGTAGTGGAATCAACGCGCGCTTAATTAATGAAGTCTGTGCCAGCCGGCTCTCCGTCTCTCTCGCCTCATTGACATCACTGAAGCGCGCCCGAAAGGATTCCCGAGGTGCCTTTTTAGCCATCAAATCGCCTGAAATAGGTTTAATGGGCCTGAACACCCCGCTCGGCGGGGCATTATTATATCACTAAAACTTTTAAGAAAATCTTAATGTTTATTAAGTCTGCATCTTCTTTCAATTCTGTGCCTTAACATTGAAATAAGCGAGCAAGCTTGAAATCGCGTTGTAACGAACAACAAATACAATTACTTCTTAATTTAATAATTTCTTTATTGTGTAATAATAATATTAAGAATAAACTAGTAGACGCTTATTAGCGTAAATACGATTTGTACCGCTCTTGAAAAATTCAAGAACATTATACGTGCACAAAAAAATTAGCACCGCGTCGTTTATCACAATTTAAATAACAAATTAGAGATCTGTTATTTATCTCGTAGGATAGATTGTCAAATTTAGGAAAAGACAATAACAAAGGCGCGCCTCATTTATCTCGTATTATTAAAAGCACAATTGATAAATTAACGCCGCAATTAATATCGCGCGCGCATTCGTCTACGTGATAATAAATAAAATCGAATAAATAAAACACTCACGTCCGCGCGTGGAGTCTCAATCAGATTTCTGTAATGATATTAATGGAAATTAATTCGCCACGAGATGCGAACGTATTTACGCGCTACAGTATGAAACATGATATAACGATATCAGCAACCGATTAGCGCAACGCGTTTTATATATGCATCAGATTCTATATTAAGCTCCCGCAGACATCACCGCGAGCAACAAATACCTATCTCCGTAATAAATATATCGCGGATCGATAAAGGTGCAACGTACACGTATGGTTTATTAACCCACTTTCCCGATTCCATTCTATCCTTGATAGCGTATATCGCCGCGACAACTCCGCAACACGCTTCCAATATACGCTAGGTGAGCATTCGAAGCCGCGGAAAGTCCACGGCGGTGCGTGCTTCTCGATTTCAACAACGGCCTTGTAACACAATAAACGCTTCCTTATTGGCCTTATTGCGCGATATTATTGCGACTTGATGTTTCCAAGTACGGCTAAATGATCCCAATTGTCCCTCGAACGCGCGAAATCCACCTCAAGTACGGTGTATTTCAATGATTTGCGCTTTCCCGCGCGATTTTATCTTTCTTTGAGAAATAAAAGAGTTTTCAAAGCTTATAACGCGTAAGCAGATTTAGAAATACGTTGAGAATTTAGGATAAGGCTCGTTTCATGAATTTTGATTTACAAATTAAACGAATGCGGGGACATAAATGTCGAGCCGCGGTGAATTTTATCCGCGTCGCGCGCGGTCTAAAAATCGAATACCTGGCAACAGACGCGAATAATCGATTTGGAAATGAGTCACTATTGTTACTTAAAATTGCCCCGTCGACCGCGCGCGATTGATTTCATCGCGCGCGCGCGCACGCGAACAAAAGTTCGAGAGTTCATCGTGCGATATTCGGAAAATCTTCTATTTTGCGCTATCGCGCACGCCGCAAGCGGCTATGTACTCGTTCGATAAAACCGGCAGTTATATCTCGCCATGCCGGAAGAAACCTGCGGCTCGAGTGTCACGCGCATTCATATTGACTCACCGTGCGGGCGCGTCATTGTAGTGAGCGATAAATAAAGTCCACCGACAATCCGTGCCGTGATTTTAAACGAAGGCTGCTTATATTACAGTCCATCTACGCTGTCATCCCGGGCTCGTAACGTCATCCTAGTCCTGTCTTTGTCTTTCAGCGGGGGGTGCGCGACGCAGCGCGCGTCGTTCCTCTCTTTGTTTCCGGATGGACGAGGGTGCCATCGATCTCGTTTTTAAGCGTGAAAAAAATGTTAACGAGGCAGACAAATAGAGCAGAATTTCGCGTTACTTTGGATCACTTCAGCCGGACTACCTGGGAGGGGGATACTCTAAACTTATTTAACTTGTAATATAGTTCGAACTATATTAACACCATCGGCTTTTCGTGCAACGTACGTACTTACACCCTGACGTTATACTCTGAAAGTCGATAGCCTAGTTTCGAAAGTGAGAAGCTCAACTAAAAACTGCAATCAACTGTTATCAACTCTGTTGCTCGCGCAAAACTGCGAGTTAAATTTAATGAGTTAAGAAAAGAAAAACAAAGTTCAAAGATACAAGATAAAATCGAGGAATGAAAACAGAAATAATCAAGTTTCTTCACTAATAAAAGTGACTTAAGTGACCCCGTGCGGGATTTAGAACTTAATAAATAATTTTTTATTTTTCGATGTTTTCGTGATATTCCAGAGCCACTTAAAATGCCGAATGTGTAATATTAGCTCTATTAATGTAAAAAGATAAATGGTATTTATTTAAAAAAAAAACGATAATTGTAACATTTTAATAGATACATAAATCGCATAAATTTAAGATTGCATCTTAAGTAATCTGTGAAGCATATTCGATCGTAAAAAAAAAATTATGCGTCTAGACGGCGAAAATGTACCTAATAAAACCCAAGTTGCCGCGTGTTCAGGTTTTAAACTAACTTTAGAGCGCGTGGGAACCGAAGCGATGAACTAAATTCTCTATTACAGTCCGTTTGTGTCGCACGTTTTACTTTTCGCGCTCGTTCGCAGGCTTATTTTTTTGTTCCTCCGTTCGAGCTGCGCACGAGGCCTATTTCGTTTTAAATACATAAAGCGTAGAATGCAGCGTGTAACGCGAACGTATAGCTTACGCCTCTCCCGGCAATATCGAGTGAAGGAAAAAAAACCGCGCCTCTCGTCACAAGAGACGAACCTTCCGGAAAATAAATGTTTGAAGCTTTTAAACGAACAACAGTGAACTATTGAGCTTTCCTCGCGTCTGGATATTTGTTGTTCGCGCCCTTATTTCTTCAATTCGTCAACGTTTTTAAGGACGTTCTTTAACACGTTGTTTTATGAATTCAATTTAGGATACGCTTACGCGCAAGAGAGTTTGTCGACAGGCGCTTCCTCGCACCTGTCCCTCCCGGCTTATCCCGAATGAAATTTTCATCGTTCCGCCGTGGTCTTCCGCTATCTCGACGGAGGAAGCGAGCAGATTGATCTTTTTTTTTTCGGGCATTAAAACGGTAATCCGACCGCCCGGCCGCCGCGCCGACTCGAGCGTATCGCGCGAATCGCGCGCGCGTCCGTCGCCGGGCGTAAAAAGTCATCGACCGATCACACGGTGTGCCGGTCGGCATCGCGACATGCAAACCGCTACGATCGATCGACTATAACGTGACTGTAACGTCGCCTATGGGGCCGTACGGTGACCCCGCGAGAGAAACTACGGCGATCGGGAACAAACGAGGGATTCGTACATACAATTCAAGTATATAATACGCCGGAGGGACGAGAGCTCGCGCTACGCGAAACAATCGCATCTCCGTCCATCGTCTCTCGTCGCGAAATCAAAAAAAGCGATCGCGAACGTCACCGCCGAAGCGAGCTCTCGCCAGCGATTCAAAATTAATCAACGTATTTGCGTGGAGGCGAGCGATAAGAGTGGCTGATAACGCGAAATTTCTGTACTTCGCGCAACTTATTGCGTGCAAAGTCGCGAGATACTCGACGTCGGAATTATATCGCGAAGTTAACATTGTGGAATGTTGAATTGCGGTAATTAGTCGAGTTTAGACCCAGTTTAGCTCGAGGATTACTTTGAGAACGATATTTTGTGTTTCGCTGTTTATACTTAAAGTCTGTTAAAAGTCTGTATAAAAACAACACGGAACTTCAAAATTCCTGACGTTTATGCGCACAGCTAATGTTCATTTCTATCGGATTAACTTTAATCTCGGTTCAACTTGCTTTTCATCTTTTCCTAGTTCTAAGAATTAGAAAAGAATAAACCCGTGTGAGTTAACCCGAGATTTAAAATTAATCTACTTTGGCAAAAATGAACCGCTCTCTTTCGTCAGAATAAACAGATCCGTTCTTTTTGTACAGTTCAATCTTTCCACGCTCAATATATTTAAAGTGGAGAGCTGAAGGTCTTCGTCCGTTAACTGCGCTTTTCGCATAAAAAAATCTGATAAGTTGATCTGATTGGACATTGGAGGCGGAACGAGGCAAGAAATAAAGTACGAGGCGGACGTTCGGGACGTTATCGCGCTTTTTGACGATACGAGGAAGTTACGAGGAAGAAAGAATACGCGCTCGCTCTCTTGCGGTCGTACTTTACTGCGTTTTGTACGTTCGGGAGGGGAAAAAAAGGGCCGTGTGTCTTCGGGTCTTAAGGAAGAACAGATAGCGCGCGAAATGTGGCAGGGCGTGCGAAAGCACTGACTAAAATGGACAGAGCCATAAACGCCGAAAGCGCAAACAAAAGGAAACATAAATGATAAGTGTGCTCACGTGTGGCGCATACTTTCCGCATTCCACCGCCATCTCATTCCTCTTCCGTATAACATCTGGGTCTGCGCGCGCGCGCGCGCGCGCTCGTCTCTCGATGTAATATTTAAAGTATTGTCTCTCTAATGCCTGCCGCGCATGTATTTCTCTAAGGCCGGCCGTACTTTACAAGCTTCGTCCATAATGCACCGCATTTCCGCGCCTTTCCACGAAAAGCTCTTCCAAGCTCTTCG